TTTTTTTTTTTTTTTGGATCGTCTCTCCCTTCGCCTCCTCGGCTATGGCTTCTCTCTCCCTTCTCAGTCTCACCCTTTGTCCTCTCTCACATCCTCCTTCGTCACTCCGTGGTACAAGCTTCGCGGCTATGGCCGCTTCCTTCCTCCTCGTGGGACTGCACGGGGCACTTCACAGGTAAGTGACAACCAAACTTGTATCGCTCATCTCTCTCCTCTCTCTCTCTCTCTCTCTCTCTCTCTCTCTCTCTCTCTCGCGCGCGCGCGCGCGCGCGCGCGCCGTAGCGATGTCTTCAACGCAGAAACGTGGTAAGCCAATCCTGTATCGCCCAACCTTTCTCTCTCCCTCTCTCTCTCTCTCTCTCTCTTCCTCTCTCGGTCTTCTTCTTCGTCGTGGTCTTCTTTGCAGGTACGCGCGGCGGCTTCTTCAACCTCGGTGTCCGCAATGGCGGACTTCTTCTTCGTTGGCCACCTCAGCTATGGCGCATCACTCCCTGCGACACACAACGCGGCGTGTGGAACAGCGGGTACCAGCTCCGATACCAATGCAATCAGACTTGCTTTCGTTCACACTTTACATGCATGCAAACAGTAGCGCAGCAAACTGGCGACATGCGGCCACTCAAAACTCAGAGATATGGCAACCCAGATACGAGTTCACTTCCAATGGCTATGGCGATATAACGCCCATACAACTCTCTGTTCGCGTATAGTGGATCACCCTGGATATCCCACACGCGTCTCTCTGAACACTCACACACGCACACTGAACACTCACTACAGCTATGGCGGCTATGGCCGCCTCTACCCTATCGCTATGGCTAAGCTCCGTCTCTCTGCCCACTTCGTCCTCGGGCTCACTGCAGACCTCCTTGCACAAGTCGCTGTGGCAGCGCTTCCGCATGGCTCACGCAGGAATGAATGAATGACTGGGCGCTGCCTCTTGATTTATACTTCTGCAGCTCGGTGGTCTGGCCCTTTCCCATGCCCGAAGTGCACACAGTCCCATGTGGTACTTGCTTGACTGGACCAGACTGCCTAGGACTGGGACTGCTGACTCGGCAAGGGCAGACTCCACCACTTGCCCACTTGCCTCAGTTTAAACGTAGGTAACTTCGAAAGCCACTGCTGGGACCTTCCGGAAGGCCGTAGACTTGGCCTCTCGTGACTGTAGCAACTACGACTTTGACCTTTCTGGAGTGTAGCAGCTACGACCTTTGACCTTTCGGAAAAGCTACAGCTACGACTTCTAGACCTGACTAAGACTCCTTCTCGACAGGTCTACAGATCGAACCCCTGCTACCTATAGACCCTACGAGAACCTACCAACTGTTACGAATACACAGGTCACGTGTTCAACTCTAGGGGTCGACACAGATACTGTACACAGGTAAGGTGGGGACTAGGGATTGAGCCCTGGAATCTGCATCAGCTACTGCGAACTGGTGAATACCGTTTCAACAATACCGTGGATCCTAACACCTGGCGCCGGCTAGAAGGTTAGAACAGCACCTCCTAACAAACCAGGAGGCCCAAGCCGAACGTTCTTCGCTGGTGAACCCGCAGCATGCACCCAGAAAGTCGCGGGGATCGAATGGACAACGTTGGGAATTGAACCCATGACCTCCTGAATGCCACTTACGTGCTCAACCAACTGAGCTAGCCACCTTCTTTTTGTAGTTCTCGAAAATCCTTTCTTGACAGTTGTTCATTTGTGCCATGCTTATCAATTGTTATCAACACAACCCTGCCACTCTTTCTAACCCTTACACACATGCGAACCATAAATTCATGTTACTCTCCTCATGCTGCTGCTGTGATTCGGCAGACAGGACAATCAAGAACAACCAGGTGAGCAGTCCTACTTGGTCCTCCCTTTTCTTCTTTGAAGTTCTTTCTGCTTTTCTTTGCGTTCCTCTTCTTGCAACCTTCTAACGGGACACTTCAGAATGTAAGCTCCTCAGCAATATTGTTCTCCCCACTCTGCATTGTACTTACTCAACTGCTTATGATGCCTTTACCAATAACCCTTACTCACGTAGGTGGAGCCGTGCGGGCCCTTGCTTGTGTCACGTGATGGCTGTGTCATCCTTTGTTTTGTGCAGAGGGCCGCCTTGGGTACCCATCAGTTGATACACAACCAACTCCAAGGAGGGTGACTGCATTGAGGGTGAAGGTGGTGGCTGTGGCTGCAGCAAACAAGCATAGTGTTGCCCTGACAGACTCAGGTGAGGTCTTCACATGGGGCTGCAATCGACAAGGGCAGCTAGGATATGGCACATCCAATTCTGCTTCCAACTGTGTCCCACGATGTGTGGAATTTCATGCATCTGGCAAGGGGAAACAAATTGTCGCAGTTGCAGCAGCTGCTGCAAAGTACCACACGGTCATACTATCAGTGGAAGGAGATGTAAGTAACTCAAAGCTGCACCAAACACTGCTAGATATTGATCTCAGGCTTTGTCTTCCATGAGTGAATAAGAGGGAATCAGTCAGTCAGCGGTGTGATGCCATGTGTTTGCATTTGTATGTAGTATGTACTTGTGGTAGTGGATGTCTGTACCAGCATTGCTGCATAAATAGACAACTACTGCTTACCTTGCATTACCCTTCTTTGGTGGTTGCCGTCCAGAGTGGCAGCTTATTTCCCTTCACTATTAAAATCGCTAGCGTCACAATCTGAAACCCGGGCCGTGTTTGGTCCTACCGGCGCACGGCCTGGATGGACGCTGGATTGTAACAAATGTGCAATCTGGGTCGTCGGGCCCTGCCGGACCGACGGCCCAGACCGACGCGATGGGCGATAGAATGTAACAAATCCACGATCTGGGCCGTCGGGACCTACCGGACCGACGGCCTGGATCAACGAGGTGTTCTGATTTTTAGACCACGTCGATCCTGGCCTCTGAGCCGGTAGGCCCCACGGGCCAGATCGGAAATTTGTGACTGGGTCCCGCAGCCTTTTCACGCGCGGCGCATCTTTGTCTGTTTTGAGAAAGCCCCCGCCCATTGTTGTCTGTTTTGAGAAAGCGCCTGTCGTTCCGTCCGTCTTTGTCGTGAACGCCCGCTGTCACGAAGCACACTCTCTCTCTCTCTCTCTCTCTCTCTCTCTCTCTCTCTCTCTCTCTCTCTCTCTCTCTGTGTGTGTGTGTGTGTGTGTGTGTGTGTGTGTGTGTGTGTGTGTGTGTGTGTGTGTGTGTGTTGAGCAGCTGGCCCTTGGGGGATTGTGGTGGGCCCGGTGATGCGCGTTGGTGGAATGTCGACACCTGAAACTGTTCCCTCCACCCGCCTCTCTCTCTCTCTCTCTCTCTCTCTCTCTCAGCAGTGCGCACCCTCCTCCGCCAGCGCCAGCGCTGCCCCCTCATGTAACTAACTTCTTTTTGGTGGCGGCGCATGTCCTGTTTTGGGGTGGGGCTGTGCCTTTTTGGTGGCGGTATGGGCAAATTTTACGCCGTGGGAAAGACCCACCCCTATGCTACTCTACTCTGCCCTGTCCTATGCTACGACTCTTGACCTCGACTTTACTACTGTACACTACACTAACACTCTCGACTTCGACTTGGCATGTGGATACACACACACACGACATCCCGGGCAGACTGTCGGGGTTCAACCTCCTGCTGAGTCGGTGGAAGTCCGACGAAACAGCCTGGCTTAGTCGTGCTTTTTTATGGAGTTGCGTATAGCGAACATGACAACACACACACATACACAAACACACCCAGACTGAACACACCACGTTTTCTTACTCACATACATACACAGACACACACTACGCTTTTTTACTTGCCAGAGGTTGGGCTCCGCATCCTGAAGGTGGGACTCTGAGAAGTGCATTGCATGGAGGCTTTCAGACGACCACGTTATGATGACTGAGAGAGAGAGAGGGGGAGAGAGAGAGAGAGAGAGAGAGAGAGAGAACCCAACCTAACGAACTATGCGCCTCCCCCCCCTCCCCCCCACACGATCAAGTGTAGTATCTTCGATCAGTTTCATACCCGATCCTCCCCCCGTACGATCAAGCGTAGTACCTGCTCTGTTCAGTTTCATATCTGATCCATGCATCGAGACCTTTTCCCTACACTAATAAAATCGCTAACGTGACAAATCTGAAATCCAGACCGTCGTCGGTCCTACCGGCCCACGGCCCAGATCGACCTAACCATGAAACAAATCTGCCATCTGGGCCGTCGGGCCCTACCAGACCGACGACCTGGATAGATGTGGTCTTAAGATCTTAGGACCGCGCCGAGATCCAGGCCGTCGGTCTGTACCGACCGCTCAGATAGACACGCCGCGGAGTCCCATGGAGTATTACCGGAGTCAAGTGCTGTGCGCGTAGATCCAGGCCCTCGGCCCAGTACCTCGGGGCGAACGGCCCCATGGCCCAGTTCGCAAGCAACTTTGGGTACCTCGCTTTGGGTACCTCACTTTGCCTTTGTCGGTTCCAACCGCATCGCGCCATATTTTCTTGAGCTTTGCGCCGACGGGTTCATGTTGTTTGCCGTAGTACGTGCTGGGTACTGCCTCTGGCCGTGTTGTGTATGCCCTGCTTGCTGTTGTGGACCTTGATGTGCAGCTCCCAACTTTCTCTCTCGCTCGATGTTTCTCTCTTTCACTATGGGCAGACTGTCGGGGTTCAACCTCCTGATGAGTCAGTGAAAGCCCGACGAAACAGTCTGCCACAGTCATGCTATTTTAATAGAGTTGTATAGCAAACATGACAAACACACACACACGCACACACACTATCCCTGTCTCCCTCTCACCTAAGGTTGGCCAGCTGCTGCCGTGAGGTGTGGTGGGCCAAGATTGAGGTGCGGTGGAGTAGTTGTCATCGACTGAATGCGGCTGCAAGATTGGACCCTCAGGTCAGTGGCATGGCTCCCTCCCCAAACCACTTCCCCCCCCCTCCCCTCTCTTCGTTCTCCCTCCGCTGCTCCTACGCCACCCGACTCCTCCAACCACCCAGGCCCCCCCCTTCCACCGTTCCTCCTCGTCTCCTCCGCAACCCTATTCCACTACAGCACCTCCCCTTCTCCCCTCCGCTCTTCCTCGGCCGCCCTGACCGGCTGCCACCTCAACTTTCTTCTGCCCCCATGCAGCCTCTGTCCCGTTTTCGGATCTGTGTGTGTGTGTGTGTGTGTGTGTGTGTGTGTGTGTGTGTGTGTGTGTGTGAGAGAGAGAGAGAGAGAGAGAGAGAAAGAGAGAGAGAGAGACAGACAGACAGAGAGAGACAGAGAGAGAGAGAGGGAGTTAGTTTTAACCGCCGGCGTTGAATAAGAAGAAAACGTTGGGCGCACGTGGGGTCTTTTCCCGCCGCCACTGAAAGAGTTTCCAGTGTGCATGCTGTGTGTGTGTGTGTGTGTGTGTGTGTGTGTGTGTGTGTGTGTGTGTGTGAGAGAGAGAGAAAGAGAGAGAGAGAGAGAGAGTTTCCGGCGTCATTCCGTCCCCCCTTACCCTTCGGCTCCTCCGAGAACCCCATTCCGCCACCTCCACTCCCCTCTGCTCCTCCTTAGCACCCCCTCTTTGTCCGTCGATCCCTGCTCGGTTCGACCTCCCTCATTCATTACTTTCTCCCTCCGTCCCTTCCCCAGCACGAAATGCGTTCCGTTTTGTTTTTCCCTTCTTCATCCCTCCTCCCTACTCCGTCCCTCCTTTCTCTTTTGTCCCTCCTCCCTCCTGGCTTTCTGAATGCCCGATCTACGAAATGTCTGTCGCTTTCTTTTTCCATTCTTTCCCTAACGACCTTTGCCACTGAATTTGGCTTTTGGTCTCAATGACGGGGTGTGTGCGCCTGTGTGCGCTCCCACTGAATAGCTCGTGCGCGCGCGCGCGCGTGCGAGAGGGAGAGAGAGAGAGAGAGAGAGAGAGAGAGACGTTTCAGTACTATAAAAGGCGGAGGTGGAGTGTGGCATACTGCGTAGCTACACGGGCCTGCAGGGCCCGTCCCGCATTCTCAGCCTAAAAGCCTAGAAATAAGGGCTTACAGGCCCCGTGTCATTTCAGCCTGAAAGACTGAAAACGAGGGCCTGAAAAGCCCTGAGGCTTTTCAGCCTGAAACGGAGGGCCACTTTCGGGCCCTCGTAAGATCGACCTGCCCTAACACTCAGGCAGAAAACCAGGGTTTCGGGAACAGGCTAATTTTGGCCTGTTCCCACGACAGCCTCAGCAGGAGCTGCAGCGGCAGCCC